TTGTGCATTTTTTCAGTAAATGTAGAATTAGAGCTTCTGTCATTATAGGTTTGTAGAATTTATGGTTGAATAGTCAGACTTTGATTTGGCGGTGATACCACTCCTTCATAAAGTTAATAGCTTGGCCCTGCTTATACTGTTGCTTGTTCGTGGCTTGTATTTACATATATTGGCAGATATACACCTGCCAATGTTGCAGTGTTGAATAACCCGAAAACAAAACCAGCATCTAATCTCAAATGGCATAGAGTTCTGTTTAAAATCAGCGGATCTGCCTTAGCTGGAAACTGCCAAAGTATTGACCCCAAGGTGCCACTTTATTTGTGATCCTATCACATACTTAATGATCATTTGGGATATTTGAATAAATAGATTGTTTTCTACTCTTAGAGACTTAACTGGAAACTGCAATTCAAATGCTTCCTTCCATCATTAGGTGGCAATGCAGATTGCTGGGGAAGTGGCGACAGCTTGCCGCCTTGGTGTAGAGGTATCTCACCTTTATTTCTTATTTTTGGTGTTATTGGAAAATCTTTTTGACTTCTTTTCTTGAGGCTGAATTTTAAGTTTTAATACAATACTCAGGTTGCCATTGTTGTTGGTGGTCGTAACTTCTTTTGTGGCGATTCCTGGGTGTCTGCTACTGGCTTGGAGTTGGACAGACCTACGGCTTACCAAATTGGGTAAAGATTTTGTGCTTTTGATTGCAATTGCTCATCTCAATCACTGATCAGTAATTGAAATCCTTTTATAGTGAAAAGGATGTGTTAGTACATTTTGCTAGGTCAAGTATAGAGTGAGTGAACATTCATGATTGAGCTAGCTGCTGTGTTGGCCAAATTTAATCCAATACGTAAAATGTGTGTTGTGTGTTGTAATAGCGAGCCTGCATCCATATTCCCTTTTTCTGGTCAGTTAGAGACCCAATACCAAATAATTATTCCCAGTCTTTAGTTATGCTTTTTGTGCTGACCATACGGTTATTGTCTGTAAAACAAGCATGATGGCTACGGTCATGAACTCTATTCTGCTTCATTCTGCTTTGGAGAAGCTGGGTATTCAGGCGCGTATTCAAAGTGCAATCTCCGTGCCAGGGATTGCTGAACCTTATAACAGGCAACGAGCTATCCGACATCTAGAGAAAGGGAGGGTCGTTCTATTTGGTGGGGTTGGCGCTGGCGCTGGAAATCCTCTCTTTACCACTGATACAGCTGCGGCGCTGAGGGCTTCGGAGGGTGTGGCCTTATCCTTAACTGGGACATCACATCTTGGTTTTTATCTTTTTGCCTGTTGCTCTCAATTACTTGTTATTGTCTTGCAGTTAATGCTGATGTTATGCTGAAGGGAACCAGTGTTAGTGGTGGCCATGATTGCCACACTGGCAGTGAGAATGTGGCAATTGATCACATTCACGTTTCTTTTAGGGAAGTTGCTTCGAGGGGCATCACTTGCATAGATGTGATGGCATTAGCATTCTGTGAAGAGAATGGAATTCCTGGTTGGTCTTGGCTCTCTCAGTGTCTGTATTTCTATCATTCCATTGAATTTGTCTTTCGTCTCTGAAGTATTCCTTCTTCAGTTGTAGCCTTCAACTTGCAACCGGGGAATGTTTTAAGAGCACTATCTGGAGATCAAATTGGCACCTTGATTGATCAAACAGGAAGTATTAATTAAACGAGGCAGGCCTTGCCCTTTTCAGTTGACATCTAATCTTTGTATTTTTAGTCATAATAAATTGCTTGGTTTTTATTATATATATATATATATATGTATATGTATATTTAATTACACTATACTTGGATTGCGTTTTCTTTTTACCGTTAGTCCCTATAATTTTAAAAATACATATAAGGATTATAAGTTGATATCGACAGAGTTAATTTTGCTGACGTATAATCAACGTTTTTTTCCCCATGCGGATGTGTATTTAATTTTGACTTCATCTACCACATTCTTTAAATATTATAAAAGAAAGTCCCCCCCCCAATTTTTATTTTTAATCATATCTAGTTATTTTATTTTCATGTCATTATATTTTTATTATGTCATTAAAGAGCTTATTAGAGTTAAGTAAAATTTTCCTTTCAGTGCTATCTTGTGGTTTTTATACATATTTTTAAAACTATAGGACTAACGTTGCATACTAACTATAGGACTAACGTTGCATACATATTTTTATACATACTGATTAAATTAAATCAATTGAGAACAGTGAAATTAAGTTATAGGGATTAAAAAACAAAACATAATCAAAGTATGGAAGCCTCCTTTTGTGTTTTTACTGTATTATAAAGGAATATCTTTTAAGGGCAAGAACGAAATGACTATAAAGAGAATCTTAAGGGTAGGCCTGTACAAGATGCTCATAAGTTTGAGATGACTAGCCGGACCCGAGCAAAATATATCTAACTTGAGTCCTAAAAAAATTTGCCCAATACTGTTTGGGCATGGTTGGGCTGCGCTAGATCTTTGGGTTGGGCAGGGTTTAGAGTTGGGGTATCCAATCAATTGACCCTGTCTGATTCGAGATATAATATATATTTTTTTTATAAAGATAATAATATAGGATGTAATTTGTTAACTTGATGGGGACATAAATGGTATTTTTTTTTGAGGTGCCTTGATGATCAAGTTTGTAAACCTTAGGTTGAATATTTCTATATTCCTTATAATTTGAAACTGGACATTTCTTGTGCCTTGCATGAAAAATGCCTTTCATATTTGCTTTGCCATGAAGTTTTTTGATAACATCATAATATTTTTGCTAGTGATATTTAACAATCTGTTACCTTTAAAATAAGAACTTGAAGTGATTTATTGATGAAAATAATTAATCTACTACAGTATATTTCAGATTTGTATGGATGGTTTTGATTCTTTGTTTCGGTAGGGCAAGGTTGGAGATCCTACCCGAGGTGCTCGATTCTTGCTCGACCTTGCCCGCTCGACCCCTCCAAAGTCGGGCATCTTTCTGGTAGGGTTGGGTTTTGGGCATAGTTTTTTTGCCCGAAAACATTTAGAGCAGGACATCGGGTTAATGGGTTGCCCTACTTGACCCTGCCCATACACAGCCCTACTTAAGGGGCTGTTTGAAGCTGTTTTATTTTATTACTTTGAGAATTAGTGTTTTGTAAAATATTTTTTGAGAATAAAAAAATAATAAAAATAGGTGTTTTTTTTCTTGTTCTCTAAAACAATAATTGCAGAACACTTAAAAGTTATTTTTATTTTTTATTCTTTAGAATATATTTTATTTTTTTATTCTCCAAAACACTTTTTAAAAACATGTTACCAAATAAATTTTTTTGTTCTCTTGTTTTGGAGAATAGAAAACTGTTCTCAAAATAAGTTTTCAAACAACAGGTTCTAAGTTTTGCAATTATACAGTGGCTTTAATCCTGAAGATTTAACGAAGAGCAGTTGTGAGAGTCAGAGTTGTGTTTGTGCTATTTACAGCGATGCACCAACTGTTTAACACTCACGCAAACTTGAATCCAAGTTAAACGGAAAATTAAAGAGAGGGATGTCATATTGTTAAAATTTATTATAAAGGATCATAAAAATTAAAATTAGGATAAAAGACCGAGTTAAGTGTAATTGGTTACTACAACTTTAGCATGAAATTTAATAATTACTTGAAATTAATACAGGGAACTGTGTAGGAAACAATGGGTGCTTGTCAGATGTTCATCACTTCTGTGGGGTGATTTTAGCCCTTCGTTTCCTTCTAAATGATCTCTGTTTATTAATTTAAAATTAATTTTTGAATAATTTTATAATATATTTATCAAAATAAAAATTATAATATTAAATCTGATCAATTAGTTAAAATTATAAAATTTTTAATATTAAATTGGGCCTTTCAAATTATATTTATATTATCTAGAGTATATTTAAATAATTAATTTATAAAAATTATTAAAATTAATATTAAATTGAGCCTTCTAAATTAAATTTGTACAGGCCAAATTGGTGGTAGACATTTGTTGAAAATTTCTATATTTCTTTCATATTTTTATTTTAACAAATATAAAATAAAAATAAAAAACTTAGACTTGGACTATTCAAACGTTATTAGAGATAATGATAAGTACTATGATATTCATTCTCTAATAAGTATAAAAAACAGTTCATATTTAATATTATCATTTTTTATATTTTTTTGTTCAAATTTTTTTTATAATTTTTATTTTAATATATATAATATAAAAGTATTTAAAAAATAATTTTAAATTAACAGCACAGATCATTTTAAAAAAATGAGTGTGCTCATCAGAATTGATGAGCACTGAATGCATTCCAATATAAGTTGGCAAGAGATATTCTTTTTGTACAATTTTTAATTGAAAAAATTATGAATAGGTCTTTCATAGTATATTTATTTATAAATAAATCTCACAAAATTTTAAAACTATAACCAAGTTTTTTAAGATTTGAGTGTAATTTTTGATTGGGGTATAAAGATAATACTGCCCTTGTTAATTTGATTTTTACTTACAACCACAAATTTTGCAATTTACAAAAGTAATATTAAATTCCACAGTATACCTATTTGTAATCTTTAAATCAATATAATTTTCAAAAAGTCTCTACTTTTAAATTTTGAATCAATATGATTTTAAAATATTTACTTCTAAAAATTAAATAAATATAATTTTAAAAAATTATAATTTTAAATAATTGTTACATTTTTCCCAGAACATTTCATCTCAAACTATGCACTTATAAATTTTCAAGGGAAACGAAATCATTATAACTTAATATGAACTTCTGGATATCAATTTTGTTGGTTTAATTAGTTATTTTTCACCTCCTTATGTGTGCGTGTATATATATATAAGAAATAGTTCTCTGAAATAATGCTTTTTTATTAGTAATTGTTAAATATAATGTGCGATATGTGATTAAAAAAATGTATGATATTTAATTAGAAACAATTTAGTATTTTTAAATTTATATTTTGGTATTTGATCTTTCTAAATAATTATTTTCAAGACCTCTTCAATAAATATTCAGTCCTTTGTCATAATTTCCCCCAAGTTAAACGCAGAGTCTGTGTTACATACAAATAAATATTTATATAACTTTATCAGATCCAAATATGAATATTTGCTAGCTCCAAATCAGTTCAAGTTATGAGAGGATTTGAGCCTCGACTCTTTCACCGCAGCCCGTGGCACTTTAATTCTCAACTGAACTTCATTTGAAATACAAGCAGGCAGGCGTTCAGCTCAATGTCGACCCTAACAGCAAGCGCTTCATGATAATAATCTACTTTCGTAGGTTTCATCTTCATGATAACAATGCACAATCAACAAATGCTAGTAAATTTTGTCTACATTCAGCAATTGCGTCGTCACTCACGGGCTCTTGGAGGAATGAGCATCATCTTTCACCAGTTAAATGCCAAAACAAGCCGTTAAACTCGAGACCATATGAATGAAGTCATCGTTATATGAAGAAAGAGACGCTTTAACAACAGAATGATTGGCCACTAAATTTACTCTTGCTGTACATTGATCCCTCCTGACAAATTTATCATCTGTACAACGTAACCAACCCTATTCAAGAATAAAGCAATGCTATCTGCAACTTTGATTGTCACCTTATTTACACGCATGTAGCAATGCACTTTTGCTCTCTGCATCTGCCATCAAAACTTGCAAGCTCCATAGAAATGTTTCTGCCAACTACCAAGAAGTTCTTCAGCTATCTCTAGAGCCTGTACAAATTCAGAGACCCAATAAAAATGGCAGGGTCCTGCGTTACTCAATTCTTCATCTCATGGGTGAGTTTAAAAGTATTCTAGACTGTGCTTACTAAAGAAGATACCAAAACCCGGTTGATCTAAACAGAGAACCTCTTTTTTCTTCCCTGTCAATTTTTATTTTTCCGGCCACCTTCACTCACCGTTCATTCAGATTTAAAATAACTATCATCAATCGACAATTGGTCAAATGCATCAAAATTTGCCCTTAAACCAACAAACTGACTACTTAGTCGTGCACAACCAGCATTTGGCCACCTGCAACTTCCATTTGGAATACGCAGTGGGCATAGAGCTTCACACACTCGAAAAATAGGATTGTTTGCATGATCATCATCCTCTGTAACTGCTACTGAAACAGACAGATCCTTCTTGTCATCATGTGATGTGCTATCCGAATGCTTTCTGCTGGAAGGGCGCATAGCAGTTTGTGCTGACACCACTAAATCGCTTTCAATATCAAAAACACAATCGCCATTGTCAGATAACTGAAACTTACACCCCAATGACTGAATAGCTCGTTTCATGGCCACATTCTCTTTGCTTGTTTTCTTGGTCATGTTCATAGCTGACCATCTTAACTGTTTCTCATTTCGTAGTTCTGAACTCAATGCGTCCATGGCAATTTCAATTTCTTTGGCTTTCCTCTCTGCCATTTCTTTAGCCTGTTACACGTTCCAAATGGCAAAAGAATTTACTCCAAGAAGGAAATCCAGACAAAACAACAGTTCAATTCAATTGGGACTGTGCAAAACCAAAAACAGGTTGTTCTCATAATTCGTTAGCTCACGAACATGCACCAGAGATTACAAGGAAAAACACTAAGCTAGACCTGACCTACGAAAAGATAGGTGGCCCAAAGCCCCAAACCAATCAAGAGACATAAGCATGACAGTCATGATTTTCAATAGAACTGATCTCCCTACATGTGTCTTTATGAGTGACTTATCTTACCTATCTTTTAAAGACTTGGTCCAGGGAAAAAAGTTTTGTTATGTTACCAAATTAAGGATGTCAAGCATAGCATAGTGTGTTAAAATGACTACATGACCATCATAACTGATGGGGATGAGAAAGGAAGGAATTTTTAGATAAGATGTATTAAATAACAAGTCAGACAACTAAAAATAAAATGTTCACCTTCTGCATCTCAGAGTATTTCAGAAACATTTGTCTACATTCTGCTTCAATTTCAACAGAAGCTTGTGCTTCTTCTGGACAAGCCCAGCGAAGATGAAATTGGGGCCAGAGTGTTGGGGCTAAAGCTGCTGCTGGGGGCAAGATAGGACCATTGTGCTTCAATGGATCATAATAGAGATTAAAATGCACATGAGATTTTCCTTCAGAACCACGTAAGTCAGCCAAGTATGCCCACAAACATCCACAAGCGTCAAAAACATTGCATTGCTGCCTTTCCTTCTCACTGGATGAAAAATGCAATCAAAACAACATACTATTTCTACGAAATCAAGCAACAATACAACAATTACAATTAACTTTTATGTGCATCCTAAATTTTTCCAAGACCAGCGTAATCCTTCTACTAGAAAGTTCAGGATAGATAAGATTTTACACACTCATAAAAGCAAAGGAACATGTACGGACAGTGGATTTCAAGATTGGACTCTTCATATGGTGACTAATAACCACAAAACCAATAAGTTCAGCTCCGTGGTACTGATATCATACTTGTCCCTAGGACTGAAGAATCATAGCTCAAATCTCAATCGAAGTCAAATTAATCAAAAAATGCCCATCAATCGCATAAATGCCTAATGGTCAGACTTTATAATTAACTGTCAATTAGAGCACATCACCAAAATTAGGAACAAAGACAGGTTACACAAAACCAATCCCAGATTCCTGTAATCATAAACTGAGCAAAGAGACATTGGAGAACCAAACACTTAAAAGTCTCAAATAACATTGCCAGTTGGTGACAGCCATCATAGGCCACCATACTTGTAACTGAAATTTGATTTTGTTGAACAGAAAAAACTAAGATCTGATTTCACTTGAGTGGGTTGTTTTTCATCAAAAAACATTGTTTCACAATGCAAAAGCCTTCTGTCAGAAAAGTTCGCATCATCTATAATAATGTCTATTTTCTGGATCCAGAATTATATATCTCATTATCCAACCCATCTAGCCATCTCAGCAATCAGCACCTTTTTTAAGTATAATATGTTATCTACTGATTGCCCAACATATGTTCAAATGGGAGGGGTCAAGCCTAAAAAATATGCCAAAGACCATAACCATTCCTGGAAAAGCAAATCGCTCAAAAACCAATACCTATTACAGAAGAAGTTTCCAAATCGACAAGAAAGAACACAGTCTAGGAAGTCCACCAGGAAAGCCTGTATCATGAAATAGTGCAAGTAATCAGTGGGCAAAGCCATCGATCAGATAAGAAATATTCGTATCTATGGACATCAGAAAAATCAGACATGGAAGATTGATGTGTACCGAGGAGAACTCAAAAGCAAAAGGATACATCCGCAGCAGTTGTGAAACACAATCAACCCACTGAAGAGAAACATACAGCAGATCATTAGCTAGATTACATGAAGACCAGAGTATGGACATCAGTGTTATGATGTTCAAAGCCACGACCACCAACAGTTAAAGCATGAAGAGGAGACCTATAGACATTATGGTACCTAGAGACAACCTGCGTCAATCAAATGATGCCTAGATGTTATAAAAGAAACAAACCTGCAAAAGAATGGGAGAGTAGTGGTTTGAAGTCTGTGCATGAGAAGGGGAAGATTGAGATGTGAATGATGACTGACGCATGGGTGGTGAAGGGCAACTTCCAGTGGAAGACTGTCTAGTCAACTCAAAAGTCATGTTGCCACTTCCAGAGACTGGGGGCATTCCCATACGATCTGAAAATGGATGACCAAATGCTAGCCAGTCTTTTTCAACAAGTGCCTGCATAAGGAAGAAACTTTTGAAGCACAACAGAGAGTCATTGCTGTAGATTCCACATGACACGCATGAAAAGAAGTGATTTGTCCATCAAGTCAAATGTAGAACTAGAATGAGTTTAACCAGAAAAAAACGGTTAAAATGTGGAAGGACTGTTTCCTTATCATACCTTGTCATATATACATAATAGAAGCCGTTTATTACACCATCTTTTCCATATTTGAGAAACATCCAAAGTGCTTGTTTGGTAAATTGGTGAGTAAGATGCTCGTAGTCATCCAAACCAAAAGGTACCAATGACACCTTTGGATGGCATCTTGTAAACCCCCCTTCTCCCCCCCAAAAAAAACGTGGGGATTTCAATCCCAAAGCCTTAGCTGTGATGACTTTTATAAAATACCAATTGTAAATCAAACACGGGAATTTTAGATATTGAAGAAAAGCAATAGGAGAGTGAGAAACATGACAGCACAGTGTGATATCTTGTTACTTTCTTGAGAAGACCAATCATGACATATATAGAACAGAAGGAGACAACAGCCTGTCCCGTGACCCCAAATGATGCAATGGAAACAAACAAGTGTCTCAGATTTAGTCAACTTCAATGTCTGTTAAATGGGAAAATATGAACATTTGAAAATAAAGCAAAAATTAGGACGAAAATTATGATTAAGAGGCTATATCACATGTTAAAACATGGAGATTGTTATGTCATTGTAATTGTGACATTTTATAGTTTAGTTATATTCAGAATTAAGAGAAATAGCCATTATGGTAGTTATAGATATAGCTGTTGGGTAGTTATGAGGATTAGAAGCCTATATATACTTGAGATGCAATTGTAATCCTTATGCTATGTTAGTCTAATGAGAATCATCTCACTATTCTCTCTCTCTCTCTCTCTCTCTTTTCTCTCAACCTCTCTGAATTCTCTCTTCCTTCTATTCTTCTCTACCCTGTTTCTCCTCTCTTCCCCCCCCCCCTCTCTTTTCCATATTATCATTCTATAACAGAAACATAACATGGTAAAACGGAGGTTCTATAGCATGTGACATTTTGACAGAAACCTTAGTATTTGTATTTTCTACTTGAGCGTCCTACAGTATACCATGACATCCCATATACTTGGGAATTTAAGATAATAGTATACCAAATAACTCGTTAATGGAAAAGTAATAGAAGTCATTACCTGAAACCCTGTGAATGTGCGGTAGTATGGATCAAGTAACAAATTAGCAAGAGAAACCAACTGACTCGTTCTATCCCAGCCATCACTGATTGAAGGACAGTAATATTTTAAATACAAATTCAATTTGACTATGGACAGCAAACTGAAAAATACACCATTATGTGTACCTGCAATGTACAAGAACAGAAGCCTTTTCCATATCAAGGCGAGCAGCAATCCAAGCAGCCCCAGCTAAGACATTTGAACGTGTAGTAGCCACCCACTGTCCCCAAGAGTAGATACTGAAGTAGACATACTACTTAGATTGCCTCCACCCCATGTTGACCCACCATGTCTCTATAAAGAGACCCCATACATACACATATAGTTGGTAAAACCCATACAAAAATCATCCAGCTCATAATAAATAAGATAATGTTGCTGAAGTTCAATAGAATAGCATAAAAATGCCATTCATTGAAATTATGGCCAAAACAAAGAATAAATAGAACCCACAAAAAAAAAAAAAGAATTGGTAGAAAAACTTTACAAACAAAAAAATCATGCTTGGGATAAGAAAAATAGCATTAAAAATGTCATTTATTTATATTCTGGCCAAAATGAAGTTAAGCTAGCATTTTCCCCCATAAAAATTATGAGCAAGATGAATCTCACAAACATCAACTGTCGACAAGTCATTATCTGGAACAAATTACTGGTTCATAACATATTTTCAGCATGGAATTCTTCACACAACTAAACAATCATATTGAAGATAATTTAAGAATCACGTGCACAGCAATTCACATATTTTCAGAAGAGATATTAATATTTTAGTCACATAAAAGGATGACTCATGGAAGAAATCTGATAAAATTAATGCATATGTCAGGGTCCATGGTTATCCTTCTGATATCAACCATAACTACAAATGTTTCAATTTCAATCCTGCAATGTGTAAACCCCTCGTTCAATTGGAAAAATCCAGTACAAGAACCCTTGTAACCAATGACTCCAAATCAATCCATTTTCATTTCCTAGTGCTACTCAATACACCAACCAAGGACACAAATAACTGAACGTTTCTAAGATTATTAGACTGACCAAAAAAGATGACATTCCATCCGATGATGCTTTTCCATGAGTGTCCAGGTATTCTCTCAGCCGAGCCAAGCTGTCTCTCATTGCATGGATGTTGTCTATGCCAAAAAAAATTACCTGATGACAAAATAGAAGACAGATGTTTAGAATATGTGGCTAAATTCGTGGCTAAAAGAAATCATACATGGACAATTCAAGACTTCCACAGACCTCACACTGAAAGTAATTTGAAGATGATTCTGAACCACCTCCCATGGCCCCATTAGCTAAAGCATTTTTCCTCGGTCTTGCATCAGCTATATATAGCTTCCTAAAAGAAGAAAGAACAAGTCAAATTAATTGCCTATGAAGTTACTGAAAGCATGACCACCTGGAAATACCACCTACTATACTGTCAGTGATAAAATAAACTCTTGGTAAGATGGCACAAGAAGATTCAACGTAAACAAGGTTTATAATGATCTTCAGTATTGATTGATACAGAAAGTAACTTAATCAGCAAACCCTCACAAATTAACATCCAATGCAATACTCCCTCCATTCAGAATTATACACCCCAAATTCGTTAATTAACAGCATTTAAATTTACACATTCTTTCCATGTTTACCCTTATTTAGTAGGGTCTCAATTAGAAAACTTTATTAATTATGCCCCCAAATTAAGGCAATTTTTGGAAAAACCTTATTAATTACACCTTGAAAGACCCAAAATGCATCATATTTTTTCACATGGTACTTAAGAAAAAGTGTCTTATAATACTAAAGAAAGGGAGTATTTACCAAGTCTAGGTGAAAGGCAGACATGTGATAGTTTTGCTCATGTTACTAGGAGAAACATACTGATAAACATGGGAATGATATAAGCATAACACGCTATAACATTATGAAGGAAGCTACAATCTTGCCTGCGTGAGCCATCACTAAGCTTGCCACATAATCCAGCCACAAGCTTTTCATCTGCATTGCTGCAGGTAAATACAAAAAAGCAAATGACTATTTATAAAGCAAAAATCCCATTATCAAACACTAATTGTTGTATGTATCATCGCTACTACTCATAGTCCTTTAAAAAATAGCCAGAGTTTGGTCCTCTAAACTTCCACCAAAAAACAAAGACCCTTTTTTCACTTCGCATTGACAGGGTAGGTTTGATTAAATAGACTTCAGTACCTCCTCATATTCATCATGAGACCAACTAAAGGTTGGGATGAACGTGCAAGAACTGCTCCCGTATCTAAAAGTTGTCATTTGCATTAAGGCAATAATCTTGAATTGAGACACCAAAATGTAAAATAATTAACAGAAAACAAGACCAAAAATAAGCACCAAATTGTCAGCTAAAGGAAATAGTAGAACCAAGACTCCATATATACCTGGATGGCACCATGAAACTACAGGAACCCGACATCTACCACGAAAGGTGGAAGCTTGTTGCACTTCATCATCACTAGCATCAGGACCATGTAAGGTTATCAAACAAAAGGTTCAGTAGAATAAACCTTGGAAAAAATAGAACATTTGTATCTCAATAATATACCTTATGGTCTTTGGTACAATCAAAGAAAAAGGATAACTAGGGCACACATTGTAGTTAGAGTTCACTTTACTTATTCTCCACAAGTCATTTGACAAGGTAAAGGACCCACTTTCAATCATATTGATTGAAGCACGGTAATAGCGTTTTCCAAGAAGCCGGAAATACTCATCTAGTAGGCGCACTTTTGGGCTAGAGTTAGTAAACCTAGAAGGTCCACACACAAATGCATAAAGATCCCAAAGTACAGCTGGCTTTGTACTTCTTAGTAAGGCATCAAATATGACACGCCTCTGTAAAATTTAATAACAAAAATTAAATCTGATACATGAAGGAATAAAATGACAGCATCCATTCATATCTTCACAACACAATCTTAACAAGTAAAAACAATTTACCAATCTAAGCTCACTTAACTATTTCTTCAGGAATCGTTTTATGATTATCATAACAACTAACTTTACCATAAGAGTTTAGTTACACTATAAAGAAATGAAAATTATTGATCATTTGAGCAACTATGCCACCCATGCACGATAGTTAGATGTTCATATTCTTAAAATTCGAAATGAATGTTCAGGGGCTGAAACTCGTTCAATCCGTATGAGGTCAGAAACTAGGGCTTTATAATTCTAGCATATTGAAACAGCAACCCTACTGTCAGGTAAGAAACTAGGGCATGCATCTCATTCAATGCATCTAAGATGGGTTGAGTGTATGTTGCAATGGCACATTTTGAAGCACAAATAGCTAAAAGTTTGGCATGTGAAGACAGAAGATGTCATGAGAGTTCCTATGCTTTTAAATTTACATGCAAAGCCAAGTGGTGGGGTACATAATTGTACATCCACACAGTATGTATGCACCATTTGTAGAGAATAAAGGCTAGAAATAATGCATTCAAGGTAAAAAAAAAAAAAATACAATCTTATAAATTCCATGATTACCAACCCAGTAGAATTACCTGTTTTGTACGAGGCCTGAAACCAAAAACTATAATTCTCATATCTTTTCCTACATAGAAGAGAAAAATAAATTATCAGATAAAGCCTTCAAAGAATCAAGTAAAACATTAAAAAGACGATAGAATATAATAGGAAGACTAGGGGTGCGGATGTTGCAAGGATTTGCAAAGGTGCGCATTATTTGCAGTATTATGGTCCTTTTTACCAGAGATCATTAGTCAATGACCAGAGTTTTACATTGAAGATTTTAAAACCATGAAAGTTCTTTGGGATAAAACAGTTTTCCTAGGTTTGTCCTGGGCCTCTACAAGACTAAGATCGTTTAAGGGTTATATATGTGTCTCAATAGTGAAAAATTGAAGGCTTTTTGAGCTGATGTATTCTTTCATCTAGTTTTTTTCCCAGTTTGTCATGTGCATTGTATTTCTCTGTTCCTCCAATAATTTATTTTTATCACAAGTAATATCAAGGTAACAAACCAAAACTGGCAGAAGTTCAGGGATAAATAACCATCTTTTTCTGCACTATGAAGTGGATCAGGAGATTTTGAATGAGCTGTTTGGCTTTTTTTCCCCCCCAAAAGAGTTGGGTATGTTCAGCTGACCATTAGGCTATTCTAGCCATCAAGTTTGTGGGTTCAAGGAGGCAAAAGGTGAATGTAGTTCTTTGGTAGTGTGCTGTTCTTGCTGGTTGCAGGGCATTTGTCTGGAGCAGAATGTAAGAATTAAAATAACCAAAGGTTTCTTCTGCCACATCATTGGGAGAGGATTATTTTACATTCTCGATGTATGTTTCCGTGAAGCGTTTCTTTTTTATGGTTTTTTTTTTTGGGGGGTGTTTTCTCGTGGCTCTTTGGAGGAATTGAATGGATTTCTTGAATCATTGAGTTTGAGTTGTTTCAGTATCTTTTATATTCTCTCTTCTCACTGACGAATTCTATTTTAAATAAATAATAGAAGAAGAAGAAGAAGAAGAGCAGACCTAAAAACTAATCTGAAACTCAAAGATGAATGGTAGAAAAATAAACTATCCAATTATAAATACCCTAACAAATAAATCTTTATTATTCGAACACCATTATAACAAAATTCCCTCCACCAATTGCCAAAGTTCTAACTTTGGGCATATTGTAAATCTCATTAATGTCGGCTTACTTTTAACTGTTTAACGTTCATGTAGATTATTTGTTGCGGGGAGAGAGAATTTCAAAGATTACTTTGACAATATCTGCCCTACGGTAAGAACCATCTTGACAAGGTGATAATCTCATAAAAGATTAGCTTTTCACTCATTGTTAGCCACCACCATATTCACCCATCCAACTAATTTTAACTGCAACATAATATAATCAGAGTGGAAATCAATATAAATTTGCAGCAAGCCATAACTTGTAACACCTCCAAATTCTAATTAATTAAAAGATCCTTCTTCCATTTTATTGTTCTGATGAACATACAAGCATTATATTGGGCCAATCTAATCCATAAACATCATGTAAAGTCATTTTCTTCTACACTCTCAAGCTGCAACTTCTCCATGGAATAATAATTCTCAGTTCTAGGCAAGCATTGGGTCAGTACCAACTCTTCAAAGCAATTTCACATGAATTGTGATTTTCGTCACAATGAAGAGGCCCAATTTTATGGTGCTGTGCATGTTTAGAAAGCCTTTGGCATATTTTGTTGAAAGAAATGCTCAAATTTCTAAGGACTCTCATGGGGTAGGAACCATATAATTTCTTAAGAGCTCAGTCAATACTTTTTTTTACAATGTTACTATGTCCAACATGCAAAGGGATTGCTCAACTATGTCGAATCTTTGACCCTATTTGGAAGTATTCTTTCTCTATGCTCATTTGGAGGATGTTTTGCATAGTAGTCTCAATATTACAAGAATGAAAAGGAAACTTTTATCTAGAGAAACTTATTTGAGAGCATACCAATAACCTGGAGCAGTCTTTGCGGGGTTGCCTTGTCTATTTGACGATTAGCTGACAGCATCTTTACAGCCTACAAGTAAATGGCGTGATAGGTTTTAAATCAAGTAAAAATAGAATACAAACACAATAAAAGGAGGAACCAACATGGAATATGATGCATAAATAGATCGTCCGGTTGAAATTTGAAAAACACATCATAGATATTGTTTAAAAGATTACAAAAATTAATTAGGAAAAATGATAATATGAACATCCATTCCCGTGGCTCTGCTTTTATGAACAAATAAACCAGTAGCAAAATTAATCTCATGTCAAGAAGTTCAAAGCAAAATAAATAAATGAACAATACAAAATAAAGCAAAATATTAGGCTCCCATTTTCCATGTATCAGCCAATTGAGGCAAGCATGTTGCAATCATGCCAGTGTTGCATGAAGATGTACCTAGAAGTATGACTATGAGTAGGAGGACTGTAATCCTTCTGTAGCCAATAAGGAAACTGTGATTGATATAATTAAAGAAAATAGTGACACAAGGAAACACCAACTATGTACGAGAAAAAAAGCAACAAAAGCAATCTAATAAATTGGATAAATCCAAAAAGGCATGAAAGTAGATAATAGAATAAATCCCACCGATGTCCATAGGGGTCTGGCTAGATTATATTTGATACCTCTTTTGTTCTAAAACTTACAGTCCGCTCCCTTGACATTTTGATATGTGTGCGCGTGCGTGCGTGTGTTGCAAAAACCTCCCATCCGATCCAATAGAAAAAGATAACTTTTTAAGCAATTTGAGACTATGATTTTGTTCTTGAAACAACGGAAACAATAATAAAATAATTTTATCATTGAAAGAAATAAATATGGTAAAAAATTAACATTGCTGATAGAAAATAAATTGGAAAGAAGCCAGGTGAAAGAGATCATGTCTAATTTAGCCACACCTTAAGAAAAGTTAGTGTAATTTACTCTACATAATATGAACCTGAAGCAGAACAAACTCTATCAAAAGGTACACACAAGATTAGTCCAAAATGTATCTACAACTTGTGATAAAGCGCTTCACAACACATCAAATTAACAACTCAGATGTTAATCGATCCATCTTTGTTTATACTAGGCAAATCTATTTGACTGTACATATTGAAATAGGCTAAAAAGGAGAGACAATTCTGCTCAATGTAACTTAGCATATGCAAAAAAACACAAACCATGTAAACAAAGTAAATACATCTATAGAATAATTAACACGTTTGAAAACTTACTATCTTGTTAAACTTCTCAACCGTTGCAAGTGGAATTGTTCCCAGGGCAATAATATTTCTAGTTCGATCACTCTAGAAAAAGTAACAGAGCACATCAGAAGTCATTACTCAGCACAGTAAACATACAGACAAAAATCTGGTACCTGCAGACAACCGTAGAAACATATAAAAGCAAACAAATTCAGCCACAGCTGCTCATAAACTGAATATTTCTTATATTTAACCCGGATTTTCATGCTTTGATAAAGGGGAACACCATGAGAGAATGGAAAAATAGAATCGTAAGTCACATCCTAATTACATTTGATAGAGCCCCCAAATGCTAAACTATTCAAACAGAAAACCAGCACCACAACACTACCAACAGAGATGAATGGGTAGAATTATGCAACATAGTGACTAAATGAAAGAGGAAAACATGGCAGAAAATAGAGCACAAGGGAATTCTATCATAATTGGGGTGCCTCATTGGGAAGCAATAGGGAAACAGTATAATTATAATTAAGGGTAGGTCAAATCCAATTACTACGGCGAATTAATTAGAATGAGTCAGTTGTACAATATGAGGCACAATCCTAGGATTGATTAGCTCTTATTTATGATGCATAAAGATGTATATAAATACCTAGGCTACCATGTCCTATTCAGAGTGGACATTCAATTCATTTATAGTTCATAGGAGTTCTGCAATCAGCCATCATTGCTAATTCCTTTGCTGTTGACACTGTACAAGGCCCATAGAGCCCAGAGGCTTTACTTTTAATTAAAGTTTTATTATATTATCTGCCCTAGTTATGTACTGATTATTTTTTGCTATCTCGTTGCTGATACTTAGGGATTTAGATTGATTTATTTCCTGGTCTGATGCGCCACATGTATCTCGGCAAAATACTAGAAGATTATCTAGGTCTTATGTTTTCCTATAAGTGCATGCTCCTTTCTTGAATAATACACTTCTAGCATCAGAATTTCTTCTTGGTATCAGAGAGGCTATGATCCAATTTGGGTTAGGCTGCACAATGAGGGCCAGGGTCTCTTTGACGGGAAACAACTCCAACCTGCCAATTCCACTAGCCATGAACCACCAAGCACAACCAATGCCAGTTCTGCAATTACCATCCATCTATTGAATGGGCAAAATTACATTCATTGGGCTGCCGGAGTAAGACTCTATGTAACAGAAAAAGGAAAGTTTGACCATCTAAGTGGAGCAACAGCAAAGCCCTCTACAACAGACAAGTTTGCGGCCTAGGAAGCTGATGACTCTCTAGTTCAGTCATGGCTCGTGAATTCAACAACCTTGGAAATTAGTGCCAGCTTTGCTCTCTTCCAATCAGCCTATGGGGTGTGGAAGGCAGCAAAGGACATGCTTGCACCTATCAAGAACAGAGCTACTATTCTTGAAACTGAAGGAGCTCTTCATAATCTAAAGAAAGGTACATTAATTACGACTCAGTATTACACTAATCTGGTTGTCTATAGTAGTTAGATACCTATGAGACTCATGAGTGGTGATGCACTCAAGATGCTGCCTGCTATTTGAAGATGATAGCATGCTGCGTCAACGTCAACATGGATGTCCACTATTGACTTATCAGAGAAGAAAGGGGAGGAAGTTAGACTTAGTTATGCAAAATTAAATTAATTTTAATTTAATTAATTCATTTTCAATTTAGTTGGCTAAATAAGTGGATCAACTTTTGATCATGTTTAGTTTGTTTGAGTCAGTTATTATCCCAGATATGTTGGAATGTTTTCTTATTATTCATTTATTTTTTTGGTGTAATTCTTGCAATATAAATGGGCTAGCTTCTATCATAGCTAGACATTCAGAAAAAAAAAAAAAAACTATTTCCTTGGAGATTCTCCTACTCTGGCTATTAAATATTTTTAGAGTGAGATTCTTGCTCTAATTAATTTAATAGATTTATTTGCTTTCCTTATCATTCTTAGTTCTTAACAATTTGTATCCAAGCCACATTCGATCAACATGGTGAGCGCACGCTCCGGGTAACAAAACCATCAATCCCAACGCCACTTCCTCTAATAACCCCCTACGCAATGAATTTGTTGTCAATCCATTTTCAAAAGGCCCATTAACAGCAATTGCTTCCAAATTAGAGACACTTGATTTGTTGAAAGAGAAGATAGAGGCCCTTGAGGCTTCTACAATGAGTAGAGGCAAGCGAACCATGGAGAGCCACTATAGGCGCTCACACTAGGAAGATGATTGTGAAGATGACTATAACCAAAAGGGCCCACATCCACCCTATACAAAAGTTAAATTTCCAAAATTTAGTGGAAGAGATCCTCAAGGATGGACTTTGAAGGCTAAAAATTTTTTTCGGTATTATCAAACACCGGAAGATTTGAAAGTAGACGTCGCTTCAATGAGTCTAGAAGGAGATGCTTTGGATTTATTCTTATAGGTAAATTTAGAACGCACCTTGTTGTACTGGGATGAGTTGGTCAAGACATTACAAGAGCACTATGGGCCTCCTGAATATCAAAATCCGAATGAGCACCTTGTGACCATCAAGCAAACCGGATCAGTACAGGAATACTGTCAAGAATTTGCTAGGCAGGTAGCACGAGTTCGCAACTAGCCAGAGCACTGCCTCTTAGGTATTTTTCTAGGTGGCCTCAAGGAAGAATTAAAAGCTGATGTACACATTCAAAAACCTAGAATAGTGTCTAAAGCTACAAGTTTGGCCCTGGAATTTGAGAAAAAGGCTCAAAATCCGCATAGGACTAGGCCCAATTCGTCATACTCTCAAAATCACCCAAATCAGTCCCAATTTGCAAGTGATTTCCGTGATTCCAGAGACTCCAATTCACTGGCTTCGTCTATGTATCCCTCCCGACCAGCTTCTTCGGCCTCAATCACTCCTAAATACTCCTTAATAGCTGCGACAATCTCTCCTGAAGATGCAGAACGTCAAAACCAACGAGATAAGGGTCTGTGCTTTTGGTGTAGGGCTATCTTCTAACCTGGGCATCGCTGCAATGCTTCTTTTTCTTTGCTGGAAATTTCTGAAGAAGGTGAAGAAATTCTACCCCCTCTACCCAAGGAAGCCGAGATAGAAATGGAGCCAGAGGAGGCCGAAATCTCATTTAATGCGATTCTGGACAGCATTCGGCAACCACAATGAAACTTCAAGGCATGCTCAAGGGTTGTACTGTCCTGATTTTACTTGATAGCAGCTCCATGCACAATTTCATCTCAGACGCAGTGGTATCTGAATTGCAACTCCCCGTGCGGACGGTTCCAACTTTTGGAGTTCAAATTGGTAATGGTAGTAGAGTGAAATGCCATCAGGTTTGCCCAAAGTTTGAGGTAACAATTTCTGATTTAACTATTTAGCAAGATTTCTACCCTTTCTCCTTAGGTGGCTCTAATTTGGTATTAGGTATTAAATGGTTGGCATCACTGAACACTATGCAAACTAACTGGAACAAAATGTTTATGATTTTTTGGCTAAATGGGAAGAAATATAAGCTGCAAGACCTACCGACTAGCAATGATATTTCTATCCATCTCTATAGAATGCTTCTTACTCAAGAATCAAATGAGAAGGACGCATCAAGACACTTGAATATTGACAGAATTTTTCATGATTTTGCTGATGTCTTTTCTGAGCCAGGGTGCCTGCCAACACCCCGAGATCATTACCATGCCATCAAGCTATCCCAAATGCTACACCTCCTGATCTACAGCCATATCGTTACCCTCATTACTAGAAGGATGAGATTGAAGCTCAAATTGAGAGCTTGCTACAATGTGGATTTATATGACCTAGCACCAGTCCATTTGCCAATCCTGTGCTACTAGTTGGTAAAAAAGATGGTTCGTGGTGCCTCTGCATTGACTATAGGCGTCTTAATCAAATCACCATACTAGATAAGTACCCTATTCCCAATATTAATGAACTTTTAGATGAGTTGCATGGGGCTGTCTACTTTTCAAAAATTGATTTATGGTCTGGATATCATCAAATTCGTGTTCTACTGGAGGATTTACATAAAACAGCTTTTCGCACTCACTCAGGCCATTATGAATTCTTAGTTATGCCATTTGGTTTAACTAACGCACCAGTTACTTTCCAATCTATTATGAATGACTTATTCAGGCCATATTTACGAAAATTCGTGTTGGTATTTTTTGATGACATCTTAGTGTACAGTGCTTCCCCACAACAGCATTTACATCCTCACCAATTCCCAGCAACGAATGATGCTAAAGCTTCTTCCTTTCAATTTTACCATCATATACAAAGCAGGAAAGGACAATACAGCAGCTGATCCACTATCACGAAGGCCTCAACATGCTGATTTTTTCCAGATTGTCATCCCTTTAGCAGATGCCTTACAGCAACTCCCTACAGCATTAATGACAGACCCTAAAACCAAAGCTATTGTGGATGCATTACAAACAAATCCACAATCTCACCCAGATCATAGCTTGGTGGAAGGCATATTATATTTCAAGGGACAACTTGTGGTTCCAAATGATGCTCAATTACAAGCTAAATTTTTGGAAGAAGCACATGCGACTCTAACGGGTGGTCATGGAGGGTTCCTAAAGACCTTGAAGCGATTAGGATCAAGTGTGCATTGGCGAGGTACGAAAATAGATGTTAAACATTTTGTACAAAGATGCTTAATTTGTCAACAACATAAATATGAAACTCTTACTCCTGCTGGACTCCTTAACCCACTCCCTATTCCGGAGCAAATTTGGGAGGACATATCTCTTGACTTTATCACAGGGCTCCCAAAGTCTAGAGGTTTTGATGTTATCTTGATGGTGATTGATCGGCTCAGTAAATACAGCCATTTCATTGCTCTATCACACCCTTATTCTGGAAAAACTGTGGCTGGTTAATTTTGCCAAGAGATTGTACGGTTGCATGGTATTCCTCAGTCAATCGTTTTAGATTGTGACTCCATTTTTCTAAGTGCTTTTTGGCAAGAACTCTTCCGCTTGAGCCAAACATGCTTAAACATGATTACAGCTTATCACCCACAACCTGATGGCCAAACCGAGGTAGTAAATCGCTATTTGGAGACCT